TTCGAATTTCGGGGACGAAATTTTTTAAGGTGGGTAGATTGTGAAAACCTGTCCCTAATTTTATGATTTTATTAATTTTAAAAGGATGAATTGGCGAAAATGCCCTAGAAGCAAGATTGTTAACTTTCATTGACCATCATTTCGTGATGTATACGAGCTACTAATTTATTGTATTGTCGAAGTACTCGATGATATGAACGCGTAGGCGCAAGCAGAATCAAATTTGGAGCTACGCTAAAGATTTTACAGAACTACGAACCTTAAGGGTGTTTTATGAAATTTGAATTTTGGGTATTTTATTATTTGAGTAATTTCAGATAGGATATTTTTAATATTTTATTAATTTTTTGGCCGTGGGGCCCACATCTTACCAAGCTCTCCTCTCATCTCTTGACACGTGTCTCTCATTGTAACATCCCACATAACCCAGGAGAGTGGATCATGTAAGCCTTATATGTATATTCTCATCTCTACCGAGCACGAGGCTTTTTAGGAGCTCACTGGCTTTGGGTTCCATCGAAACTCCGAAGTTAAGCGAGTTTGGGTGAGAGCAATCCCATGATGGGGGTGACCCATTGGGAAGTTCTCGTATGAGTTCCCAGAAACAAAACCGTGAAGGTGTGGTCGGGGCCCAAAGCGGACAATATCGTGCTACGGTGGAGTTGAGCCTGAGATGTGGTAGGGGCCCGTACCGAGATGTGACACTCACCCCACTCTCTTGGATCTTTCTCTTTTCCCTCTTTCTCTTTCGTTCCTCTCTCTGTTAATCCCTTTCTTACTCACTCTTCTTCTCCAGGAACCACATGCCACCACTACCATGTCGTTGTTACTCTGGCGAGAATGACCACACCACTGTATGACCGTACGTCATGAACCCGAAGCCCTAGAGCATGATATCTCTCCTTCTCTCTTTGAGTAGTGGCATCGCCACTGTTTTAATAATTTTCTCCGACAAGTTCTCACCGTTCTCGGCGAAGGTGGGCCTCAAAACCAACCTAAACCTTCTTAGATCATGTTTTAGAGTATGATTAGGGTAATTTTGAGATGTTTTGGTGACGTTTTGACACAGGAATCAACGCGGGGGAAGTTCCCCAGTTTCTGGTGAGAAACCCAATGTTTCTCGGCCAACTCCAGCCACGGCATGACTTCATATTGGTATATTTCTCTTCCTCTCCTCTTAATCTTCATTTTGGTAGGAAGAGTGTGAAAAATAATTGAGAAATCAAGCTATTCAAACCTCTTTTTGTTCTCCATCAGGCGGTTGCAGCGGCAACCGGTCGGAGAAGAAGAAGAAGAAAAAAAAGAAAGAAGAAAAAGCTTTAGGCCCAAAACCTGGTCCAAAGTTTTTGGCCCTAAATTAGCCCATCCTAATTCCAAAATGGGCTTAGAATATTCTCTGGAATATTCTTGGAATATTCCTTAGGTTGAGTTTTTTCAGAATTTTTTCGGGAACCCTCCTAGGCTAATTTCGACGCCTTGAGTCCATTTTTGGCATCCATTTAGTGAAGTTCTAAAGTTTTAACGTAGTTGACCACTGGAGTGTCTCGGTTGACATTTTAGGGTCGACCAATGACTTTTTGTAAAATTTACCGGGGACCCTTCGTATCATATTTTAACGCCTTGATTCCAAATCCACACTCTGTTTCCTCATATTTAATTGTCTTATTGGAGTTTTACTAATGGGTCATAATATTATGCTTAGGTGCAATTACTATCGGAGACTCCGGCCTTTCTAACTCGAACGGATATGACATCACAAGTACATGTGAGTGGACCTTCTCTTTTATTTAGTATATATAATTGTTAGTTTCCATTTATACATTTCATAAAGAGTTTTCTAGAATACGCCTAGATTAGCATGACGTGTATAAGATTTAGCACATTGACAGAAATTATAACGTTATGCTACATCCTACAGGATGCACAGGTATGCGTATTATTACTGATGCCTTAATTATATTTATGGACGTGAATAATAGTATGTTGACTAGAATTATCGTTTCACTATGGCATGAATATATTTATGTTATCTACTTATCATTTGTTGCACCGATGTTAGTACTTGCCCGGGCCAGGGTCAATCTTTCACGTGTACGTGCACATCGCACCATACGCTCACTTTGGATCCATTGTAGGTGCCAGTCCTATCCTAGATTGCTACAGGCAATTAGTACTAGAGCGTATATCATTGTTACACCTAGTCGTGTTCATGTCATAATAGCTCAGCATGAACTCGTGTGTCAGCATTTGTAGATGAGCATTCGATGTGATATATTTATTTCAGTGAGATATTGTGATTACTAAAAGTTATATGCCTGTTAACCCTAAAAACTATCAAGCCTACGTGGCACACAGGCCGAGTAATCTATGAGCTAACTATGTCCTTCAATTAAATGCAGGGCGTGCCAACTCGACGACCAAGCTCGGCTGATGAGTAAAATGTGTTGTCGTTGCGTTGAGCGCGCGGCTGATTTCATCTTGTGATTGCGACCGAGGAAAGAACACGTCTCGACCTTTTGGGTTCTTGAACCTGAAGACAAGGCTACTATTCTTACGAAGTTCACAAATCGTCGTCGTCGTCGGATTCGGTCACAGTGATGGTATTCGTCAGAGTAAACTCACGTCGAATCGACACCAAAGTGTAAGGGCACAAATACTCAAAGCGGATATAAGTCTTAACAGTAAACGTGGTTCGACCGTCGAAATGCCGAACTCTAAATCCCACTTGAGAGTATCCAATCATAAAATAACTCGGCGTGCAATGTGCCGAACCTAGTAAACTGTAACAACTCACTTTGTCGAGAAAGCTGATGAGATGACCTCGACCAATAAGGATTTGGAAATCCTTCTCAACCGAGACTTGGATAGATAACCAGTCGCCCTCGATGCAATGCTGTTTATGCCAACTGAAGATGCTGCGAGATCAGCTGATTCTACGGTGACAGTGCTGTTTATGCCAACTGAAGATATCACCGGTTGCCTTCACAGTGCTGTTTATCCAAGATAAAGGTGTGTCAGCGAAAAGAGAAAGGAAAAAATCTCAAGGTTGTTGAGAGAATTTGTGCAGGGCAGTTGCGTGTTGAATTGGAGGGCCTTTGAATGGTGCACCCCCTCTGTATTTATAGGGACATATGCGCGTTGGTTGATAAGCTAATATAGGTTTTTGCCATGTACTAGAACTCTTCCACCAATTGCTTCAGATAAGCCTTATATTCCCAAGACTCTTAACTCAGTAAAAAATGCAACCAAATTCAATCTTTGTGCTCAGTCTTATCACATCAAATCCCAAGATATCCTGCACACTTGGATTGGTTCAAATAATCTCTCATCAAAATAACCACCATTATATATATATATATATATATAGTTTGAGAGATTTTTGCACGGCATAGGCTGATGGGTATGCAGACTATACAGCCTACATATATATAACTTGTAGCTTTTCACACGGCATGCAAGTCTTCCATCATCTGACAACATCCTAGCTCGCTTAGGTCTCCTATCCACCATTATCTTCGACTTGCAGATCCATGTTAGGCCAAGTGAAGAGTCCAAGAATCTCTATAATTTATTTTGTACAAGAAAACTAAGATAATTTATTAAAAGATAATTATTATGATTAAAAACCATAATATTATCTCTTAATTATAGCAAATTATCTTAACTTTCTTATCTGACGATTAAGAACCATGTTTACTCAATGGCCTCAATTGCTTGGGCCGACGGCGTAAAATCGGGTCCAAACAATGCCTATTTACGAATTTTGTGACATATTGAATCCTTAAAGCATTGCAGGTTTCAGTAAGTATTTTTATACTATATGTAGTATGTATATTTTGGAAACTATACTTGGACGAGGGGTTACAATGTTTTCAAAAAGGTTTTTATAAAACTTTATTTTTTAGGCCCACTCATCCTTGTTTTTCGTCTTTCCAGGTTTTAGCAGCTGAACTTTCATATCGATAAGGATTCTTGGCAAATATCAGTATAGGTGGCTACCTTTGATGGTATAATTCCCATCCTACTTTACTTTACTTTATTTATGCTCTGACATCACATGTAAATGGGTTTATTCCCGCTCACAAACGCACTCTTATATTTAGGCATTTTTAGGTTTAAATTTATTTACATTTTCCACATCACTACACTTTATGGCTTCGTCACCCTCCGGGTGTCGGTCAGCACAGCTTGATTCGGAGTCCAAGTGGACATTCCAGGTCGGGATGTGTCAAAACAATAATCCCAGTGGTTCCAACTTATATATCCTAACTTTGTAAATCTCATGTGACAGTATTTCATTTAATTATAATTGTCACATTATATCATGTCAGAAAAATCCAAATAATGGACAATGTGTGTAAATGTAATATGACCAAAAAACAAAAATTGTTCGTAGTTCAGGCCAACATGTTATAAAAAATTCCAACCATCATATTAAACCAAAAAACAATTTTATTAATTTTAAATAAATATGTTAGGACGATGAAAACTTTTGGGGCCCTGTGCCCCGTGCCGCTGCACCTTTTTACGCCCCCTCTTGCTCTGTCAAATGATTTTATGTTGAAAACCACTTTCTTCAAACTCATCATATGCAATTCATATGTATATATAACTAAGGCACCAATTGATAGTTGAGTTGCCTTTACTTTTGGTTTAACCAAAACCTTTATTTATTTTTTTTCCTCCCTAAAGTTTGATTAATCTCTTGCAACAAGGGGTAGCAGTTGTCAATCTATGAAATTGGATAGTGTAGATTTTCCACTTTCTTCCAACTACAAACGCACAAAAACAAGTAACGTGAATGTCCCACTGCACACCCTATTTTGTTCCCAAGCCGTGATTGATGGCACACTACAATTCCACATGGAAACCCTTCTCTCACTCCATAAAGTTTGACAACCCTTAACCCATTTTGGAGGATATAATCGACATGCAAACCCCACACACATTTTTCTTTTCTCTTTAGTCGCTGTCACCACATGAAACTTCATCTCCTACTTTAAATACGTCATCCATCTCTCTCTCTCTCTCTACAAAATCATAAACACAAACTACTCAAGTTTTTTAGGCCATACTCCATCATTTGAATCCATGGACTGGTTCTCATGGTTGTCGAAAACCGGCCTAGAGCCGTCGCTTGTGTACGAGTACGGCCTTGCTTTTGCACACAATGAGCTAGAAGAAGAGGACATTTTCTACTTCAACCATGAGTTTCTTCAAAGCATGGGAATTTCCATAGCCAAACACAGGCTAGAAATCCTCAAGATTGCTAGAAAAGCAAAGGGTATGAACACTCCGCGTCCAATGCGAAAGCTTTTGGTGGCAATCAAGAGGACTAAGAGGTGTTTGGCCGAGTACATAGGGAAGTGGGTTCGCCGCGATCAGGACTCAATGGCGCTGGCGCTCGTGACAAGGCCAAGCAATCACAGGACAAGGTTTAGAGGAGCCATGCTTAAGAGGAACAAGAAGCTGATCACGGCCAAGCAAGGCAGCCGGTTGCTGCTCACGAATGGGAGTCCTCTGGTGGTTTCTGCCGGGCCTCATCACGTCGATAGCGTTTTGAGTCCGGTGGTGTATGATCTACGAAAGGAAGAAAAGATGATGGACGGTGATGAAGCAAACGACGATGGTTATTGGTGTACTGGAGTTAAAGAAATGAGGTGGGATACCATGTTCCAGGACTTGAAACCTACTTGAAATCTTATCCTTCTTTTTTCAAAATTTTCTTCTAATCTGGTTTTACTTTTACTCTATCAGTTCTTATTCCTTATGGTAAGTTTGTCTGTGATTATATTAAATTAATGGTGAGAGATGGGATTTTTTGGGTTCTTTCCACCAAGAGAGTTTTTGGTTTTGTGCATCACAAGACTAATTTACTTAGCTTTTTCAGTGTAGGTGGGTCTAGTTAGGTAATGAAATTGTCTCCCCTATTTTTTGTATGTCACTTGTCTCTATCTTTGAATATAATTGAAAGCATCTAATGTCTTTGTGTGAAAGGTATGCTTTTGTCAGGTGTGCAAATCTATAGTAACAAGAGTATCATTTTGCATCACAGATGGTTTTTATTTTTATGTTTATAGTTTACTGTATTGAGGAATGCAGGATTCAAACATAGGACCTTGAAGCAGAAGCAGAAATAAACGTTATTAAGCACTTAGAGTAATCTATTTTCCGTATTTATTTTCTAATTTTTGAAAAAAAAGTGACTGAAAATTGTGCTTCTTATCCTTTGAATGTCTCAGCATGGAGGCTTGCCACCAACTACATTTCATTTTAGAATCCTTAAGACTTACTGCTAACAACAAGGCCTCGCCTGGCAAGCAATATTAGACACCGGATAGAAGTATTTAATACGAATTGGGTGTTTGGAGGACTTGCGGATTAAATAGTCACCGGATTAACGAATCCAATCCAAGTTGATCAATACGCTCTACTCCTGCTAGTTAGTACGCTAAAAAAGATCGGTATAATTAGTTGGGTTCAAAACTAAAAAACACGCCTCACACCCGTCTAGCATCTGCTTCATCTTCTCGCATTTGCTGCTGGAGATTCAGACATGAAGAAGTAGAACCACTCATGCTCACACCCTGATTGCATCATCTACCTCATGGGTGTTGTCTCGTTTCATCATTCATCATCTTCCTGCAATTTCCTGCAATTTCCATTTTTTTTTTCTTTTATTTTTATCTCTGTCCCTCTCTTGTATTCTTCAGTTTGTGATTTTTTTCTTTTCTATTTGATGGATCTGTCCGACGTACAAATTTGTCTATTTCATTGGAACAATTACGAGCGTCCGACGTAACAAACGAAGCCTAGGAGAAATTGGTTTCAGTAGCCCTGCTCCGAAAAACATTATGTACTAGCTCCCTTTGCTTAAAGTACTCCTAACTTAAATACCCTTCAATAATACTAGTATATTGATAGAAGAACGACAGATGATGATATAAATTAGTATAGTATCAAGCTGATCGTAAATTAAAAAATATCGACAATAAGTTGATCGCATTTCATCGAAGAGGGCTAGAAAAGATTACATTTTGAAATAAAATCATATGAGCACAATAGACAACCCCCAAAAACGCACCCTTTCGGGGTACGTTTGATTCGAGCGTATTTAGTTTTGTACGACACATAGTATACCTCAAAGTCGAATTATACATGTGCCGTGGAGACCTATAATGGACTTCCATTGACTCTTCTTCAATCCGCCATAACAGGCAACCAACACAGGCCAGCATGGGTGAAAAACTATAGCTTAAAGCTCGGCACTTGCAGTACCTATATAACACAGCAGATTCAAGCCGCAGACATTCACTAGTAATCTGAATGGCAAAGTCGGAACAGGCTTCCACAAGCCTGTATGGAACTGTGGATTCATGTCATCCGATCTCCAATCACTAGTGGCTCGAAGGCAGACGAAAAGAACCCCCAGCATAAAGCATTTGGTAAACTGGTCGTACTCTAATTGTCAAAATTACACTCAAGATGAAGCCTAGCCCACAGGCGGTGGCTAAAACTATAAATGTGAGCCTGAAGCAATCGGAACCTGTTAGGTACTCAAGCCCAAAGAAATAGCCCAACCCAAAAGACTAATCCAATAGGTGGGAGGACCCCAAGGACTTAAGAACCCCTACACCCCATAAGTGTAGTCGATGTGGAATCATAACATTACACCATTGTTCGGAAGCCGACACCCACGGCGGCCCTTACTCTGGTGGCTTTCACTCTTAACGGCGGCGCACGCTTGATCGTCTCGTTAAGGTAGTCCTTTCCAGGTCGCCCCCTCCGCAACGTCGGGAACCTAGACTTTGATACCAATGCTAGGTACTCAAGTCCAAGGGAAGAGTCCAACCTAAAAGACTAGTCCAATAGGTGGGAGGACCCCAAGGACTTAAGAACCCCTACACCCCCATAAGTGTAGTCGATGTGGGATCATAACAGAATCTATGCATGTAGACCCTCCTTGCTTGACAGCTTCAGCATCATATACATTACCAGCAAGAACTGAAAAAAGTACTGCACCAATAGGGTTTCCAAGTCCCATGAAACTGTAAATTACACCAAAAAATGTTTCAATCCAAAAAGTTCAGAGGCAGTTGGAACCATCAGTGAATATTGAGCTCCGTAGCAGATACCAAACAGAGCAGTTGCAACATAGAGAGTACCATTGATAGATAAAGCATATAAAACAAATGATACGATCATAACTATATGTGCACATGCCATCCACACTGTGCGAGGAACTGTTTTCTTCCTGCAGTGAACAAAATGATGAACCAAATTAGTATTAAGCCCTTAGAGAAGTAAGAGAATGACTCATCCATTGAAAGAAAAAAAAAAAACCAGAATGGAAGGTGATTGCATTCTCGAACAGAAAAAAGTCCGAGTTTAGGGTCATAAGAATCTAGGTCATAATCTCAAGTATAATTGAAATACTTTGACATAAAAGTAACATATTCAAGAAATTCAGACATAGTATTCCAATCTACTAAGGTGGAACAAAACCCATTAAAGAATGAGAAATGCTAGCAACCTTCACTTACCTTCTCGTTTCATCCTTCTCACTTCTCATGCCACCTGTACTCCACTAGCACTCAAAACTAAAATTTCAATTATGTTAAAATCCAATTATTTCCATTGGTTAGTATAATTAAAATCTTAGTTTGTCAACCAAAAAGTAATTAAACATTTAGTGGCGTGCTAGTGGAATACATGTGGCATGAGTAGAAGTGAGAAGGTTGCTAGCACTCCCCAGAGACAATAAGCAATAATGTCCAAGTTTGAAAGCTTTATTAACCAAAACGAAAAGTTAAAAGTTAAAAGAACCACAAATCAACAAAGCGAGTTAGCAAGATACTTAAGATCATTGAAACTAAAAATCTAAGCCAGTGGAAAAACAGGACATATTATTCCCCAAGTGGTGTTGCTAATGCTTCAATTAAAAATTCAAGCATGGTGCAGAAATTTGTATAACTTAAAGAGCAAAAAATAAATTTCAAAAACAGTTAAGTAGGAGTTAGAGAGAAATGACCTGAGAAAGTGTTCAGAAACTGCACCAGAACCCAGATGACCCACAAAATTGCAAAAGCTGAAGAGAGACAACAGTATTGTCGTATTACTAGCGCCTAATGCAATCCCAATCTGGCTCCAATTATTGAGTACTGTTATTCCAGAGCCAACTCCAAGAAAATATACACATCAAAGAAGCCAGAAATCAGCCTTTATAAAAGCTTCCAGAAACTTAAAAGTCCTCTCCCCTCTTAGGTCTCCTTTTCTTCTTCACTGCCCCTTCCCCTATTGCAAGAAGTGTTTCGATATCTGAAGCAAACTCAGCCTCATGAAACTTCCAAGATGTGCAGCTGATGAGGATGGTGTCAACAAAGGATCTGTTTGGGTCGCATTGCCATCTTCTGCAGTCAAACGCTCAAAAGATTCAGCTCATGCCCTTTAAGGAAATAGTGTCATTTTCACAGGAATTGCGAGGGGAGAAAGTAGAAGAATAACCGTTATAGCAACCAAAATGTAGGAAATAGCATCACTAAGAGATACCATCTCCTGTACTATTGTGACAGTGACAAGATAGATAGCTAGCAAAAAACTGACAGGGGTGAAGAGAAAATGGGCATGCTCCGAAGAATCTTCTCCAGAACTGCAGTACATGGCCGGATAAAGTACATCAAGGCTAAATACAAAACAGGAAGCCCAGGAGCGAGGAGCAACAATAGATTCAGAGCAGAATCTTCAAGCACCGTACTGTATATCACTGTATAAACAGCAGTGCTAAGCCCGATATAACCTTTGAGAATGCCAGCCACAGTGCCTCTACTGAGAGGGAAGTTTCTCATGGTTGTTACAAGCACAGCTGTGCCGAACCAAGCATTGCTATTAGTCGCAATGCAAAGTGCGATCCATATCTGCCATAGAATTAAAAGATATGTTAAGACATCCTAATGCGAAAACTAAAATATATATACCTCCCCAGCTGTACGAATGTCAGAGAAAAATTCAATTGCTTGTAATTAAATGAATAGGACATAACCACATAAAACTATTTTAACTAGCTTAGTTTCTGAAAAATTTCCTTCTGTAAGATTTTTACTTTTTTTGGGCATAATTCAACATCAACTTAAGGAAGGGGGACGGGGTTGCACAATGCTTAAAGACAATAATATAATTTGACATATGGCTAATGACCTATGATTTGCATAATATGATTTTTCATTCAGAAGAAACCATTTAAGTCATCCCTAAGAGCTTGAGACAATAATGCATGAAGAAACAAAGTAGTGAACAAATTATTTCAACAACTTAACAGAACGCTGACGAAAGCATGCCTGAAAAAGAAAAGGCCCATGAAAATCAATTGCAACACACACACACATGCACAAAACAAAATGCTTATTGCTACAAGAGCATAACATCTGTACAACGACACACAATGTAGTCGATGGGTGATAAACCAATTTCAACTGAAAAAGATGTTGAAAATTCATATGGATCACTTTCCATCTCTAAGTTGTCTTTATCAAAGTGGATGGGAGGTTCCTCTTCTATATATATTTTTAATCACTTTCCATCTCTAAGTTGTCTTTATTTAAATTATTAGACAGTAAACGTTAAGTAAAGCCACTATAGATCAGTTGATAGCTAGAACATGCACAGAACTAAATAGACGCATATCAGATATGAAAATTGCTCAATTTGGTACCTGAACTCTCATCTTTAAGGCTTTCAATCCTCAAGAGTAATGAGTTAAGTTCTATTAAAAATGTGAAAGTGGGAAAGACAACGATTCCAAGGAACACTACGATAAAGAATTCTTCTTAAGAAGAGGTGGCTGCAATTCAATTTGATTGGTTTTCAGCATTTGAGGTTAATGATGCCTTTTGTTTACACTTAACACTGGTTAGCTCCTTAAAACTCATAAAATTGACAGACTTGCTATTTTTTTATCACTGATTTAAAGAATTTCTTTATTTCTCGGAGACAATTGGTAAATAAGTGTTACTACATTCCCTATCAAGAGTCAATTCTGCTAGTTCAACAGAAAAT